TATAAAAAATGGTTTTTAAGAGTTTTTGTCAAATGATTTATAATATAGAATATATTTCTTTAATTTAATTTAAGTTTAATAATAAAATAATTTATTTTTGGTTTAATATTATAAATATTATAAAGATAATAATTAAGTATTCTGTTAGAATTTAATGATTATACAAATTATATTTTAGATTTTTATATTTAAAATGAGATGTTTATCCTCTATTTGATTGTGTTTATCTGCAGTTAGTTACACGAATTTAGATATGAGAAGGGTTTAAGAGTTTTTAAGAGTTTTGAAAGTTTTAAGAGTTTTAGCCAAATGCTTTATAATATAGTATAGATGTTGTAGGGTCAACTTTGATGACCCAATTAAAAAGAACGCCCGTCCAAGATACTATGTTTTTACTTTTCACTTCTCAACTGTCCATGTTTTGTAAATCAACAAAATTCCGAAATCTGTCAAAAATCAAAATCCAAAATTGCAAATTATTATTCAACTATGTTTTTAGTTTTCACTTTTGTTTAGTAATTTGTTTAAAGTTAAACAATCTAATATGCTTATTAAGCAGAATCCTAGAATTCATGTTAATTTACAGTATAATTGGACATAACTAACTTTATCATGTTAACTCAACTAATAATAAGACTTGAACTTTTGAGGATCTTCCTCATAAGTGATCGGTTCAAATCTTGCAAGACCACTGGAGATTTTCTTGGCTGTTCTTCAAAACTCTTGGAATTAGTCAAGGTGCACACAAGTTGATTCGAACACCCACATTTAACAAAAAGAAAAAAAATAAGTAAATAGTCTTATTTGCCTTTTTTGGAACGGCATCCCAGGCTGTGCGTAGGCTAATCCAGTAAATTATGATTGTAATACATCATCCTTGATAAACTCAATGATCACTGCCTGGAATTAAACCCAAGACAGATGAGATATTCCACCACATCCATTTGAAACGTAATACATATGAAAAACAATAATAAAAAGCAAGTTTTGTTGTATTGCAATTATATCATCGAATAAAAAACCACAATGACATATTATTCAAATGTTGGGTTCCAGTGAGAATGAGAATTAAGGTGAGAAACATATTAAAAAATCTTCAACCTTGGATGCATTGAGATGAGATGTATCGAGATGCACCCGGATCAATCTCCATATTAAGCATGATTCATGAGTGGATTTGAAATTAAAGTAGATCAATGGTCCAAATTCTTTCTCACGCTTCTCACACGATCTTTTGTTTATTATTTAAAACTTAACTTTGATAACAATGAGGAATCGATATCTATCTTATCAACTAGTTTTAAAAAGCTTTATTTATTTATCATGTAATTATTATTTTATTAATTAACAGTTAACATATAATTTATCAGTTAATTTATCACATATTAATGATTTTTTAAAATAAAAAATTTAATATATAAATCCCAAAAAAAAGTTAAAGAAAAAAATGATATCAACTTGGGAAATTGTAGATGTGAACCCATAGTATCCGGTAGCATAATACGTGTCCGTCCATGAATGGTTAATAACCAGGGACCAGGTGAGCAGACGAGCGTCATTCATAGGGGCTATCCGTACATGATTTAACGGCGTCTAATCGCATCCATTCAATAATAGACAGCTGTACCGTGTAACACGTGTCAGCAGAAGATCATCTTATAAACCTACGGTTTACTCTTCTTTTTTAAGGTACCCAACGGTAAGTGCTATATTCTTGATTTAGTCCTCTTACGTGTCACCACAAACCCAGCCTCTCATCTTGGCTTAGATTCCAAATCTCAAATCATTTATTGTTCTACATACGGAAGATTCGTATAAAAATATTAAATGTTTTTAATATTTTAATTTCAGTAATTTAAATATAAAATTTAGAGGTCGTCTGATTGGTTTTTCATTAAGTCATATATCAATAAATATAGATCGTAAATGTTTTTATTTGGCATAGATCAAATTTTTTAATTCGGAAAAGTAAGTTTTGAAAAATACTTGGTTTTTTTTGTGTGTGCATAAAATCCACTCTAAAAGCTTATTGAATAAGTCATTTTCTGTATTATTAAGCTACTACCAAACAGTCATGTATAACTGACTGAATAACTTGTGAGTCTCGTTAAGTTATAAAGCTGGTAAAAAACAGACGCATAGAATATTTTGATTAGAATATGGTACACGAAATAAAAATATGACTAATTATATTATATGTAAAATGATAGAACTAAATTACATCGTATTATAATATGTAAATTACAGATGTGTTTGATACGTAGATCAAGACTTGACGTAACAATATTACAATTGTTGTCCCATATTTATGTGATATGATAGGATATTAGCAAAATGCTTTTGAAGGATTTGAAATACGTAATGATTTTGGAGGTCAACGGATTTTGGATCAAAAAGCAACGGTCGAGAAAAGAATAGATCACAGTGGCAACCCAATCGAGAGATGCATCAAAAAGCTTAAGACCGAAGTTCGATGTAGACCCAAAATAAGCATAATTAAAAAATTCAAGCCTAGTGAGTCTAAAGCCTGGTTCAGTCCAATCTTTAAAAGTTTGATAAGATTAAAATTTTAAAGCAGGCCCAGGTCTAGGCCCGTCCCAAAGAATTCTAGTTTGAAAAAGCCCAATTAAGCTCTGAAAACTCCAAAAGAAATTCAAACTTTCCTTTTCACTGGAAACGAGCTTTTTTCAAGCCCAGGCTCCAAACCACGTGCCTTATGCGTCTCTAACCCACCCTACTCGACACACGGGTCTCACCTACACCATCTCCAAACCTGAATTCAATTTCACCGAACTCAATATATCGAATTCTGGTATATGCATTTCAATCAAATCTAAAGTTGGCAAATTTCGGACAACTTTGTTTTTATATATTCTTTACTATACTTAATTGTTTACTTTCGGGTGCTACAGATGAAAAGTAAATTGTTACTAGAAACTCTGAATATAAATACTTGATTGACCTCTCCTAGTTCGGCTAGTCTTAATTCATCTTAATTGTGATTGAAGTACCAAACGCTACTTTGTTTAATAATCTTATTTTCTTTTTTTGTTCAGTGTTTCTCCATTTTCTGTTCGACGAGCAGTTTCACATGCAATTTTGTTGACTTTGTTCATCGTGACACCAATTACCATTGTTCACAACACCATAGCTTTTAAGAAACACACACAAAAGCCGAGAGTTGAGGTAGAATTCGGGATTAGAATCGAGCTATGATTCTTCGAGAACTTGAGATAACAACAGTTGGTAAACTCCTATGCGTTAATCCTTTCAATTTAATGACTTATTGGAGAAATATGATTGTGAAAAAATTGATTGAAAATTTTGTTTCAGAGAATGTTAGAAAAATGATTGTATTCAAGTAAAATCTGTATGTTATTTTTTTCATTTTCAAACACTTTTGTTGTTTTAATTTGTAATCCTTTTAATACAGTATATGGTATGAAATTTTATATTTTGTATTATTCATTACTCGGTAGGTGCTTACCGGACAATTTTCCTCACCGAACGAACATGACAAGGCCGTAGAATCTTACCTAGTAAAAGCAATGATAAAGATAGAGAGTCTTAACCAGTAAGTGAGGTTGACAACTCTTACCTGGGTAAGCGCTTACCAGATATATTAATATTGTTGCATACAATATCATTTTGATATACTATAATCTTACCCAAAAAATAAATTATAATGTCGGCTTCTAATGATAAGCATTTACCGGGTAAACATTTGAGTAAACAACCCCTTAGTACAATTGTAACAGAGCCTTCATAATAATAAAATCCATACCATATACGACATTAATAGTTTCAACTGGTAAAAATGCAAGTATTTTTAGAGTTGACCATTAGAATTTTTTATAACAAAGTTCATAATAAAGTTTGACCCTTAATTGGCCTATACATATAGACATGTATATGTTTTTGTTTGATTCGTTTTGGTTGCAAAATGTTGGTTAAATTGGTAAAGTTTTACTCATTAAATGTTATAAAGGTAAAATCGATCAAATTAATGGTTTTAACTGGACCAAACAAACAGATCAAAATCACTTCCATTATACAGTTTAATTCAGTTAAAAATAACTGATTTACATCATAAACCATTAATGAAACCGAACTTGATTTTTAATATTTGAAACCGAGTATTCAAGAAAAAGCAGGTTATTTGATGGAAGAACAAAGATCCTTTACGGACGAGGTTATTGGTTCAAGTCTGGATGGACCAAGAAAAGAGTAAAAGAAGCTTTGAACCTGACAACAGACAACTAATAAATTCCACTTATTGAACAGGGTGCAATGGTTGGTCCATAACCGGTTATGGATTTGGGGTGTTTCGTGGAATCGGGACCGGTTATGGACCGGCCCGGCCCGATTTTTAAAAAATGTATTTTTTTTTAAATGTAGCCGTTTTTTGGTCCTCTTTTTGTATTTTTTGTTTTCTAAACACTGGTGTCTTAGTTGAGGGATTTACATACCAAGTTCTCGATTCGTAAAAAACACAAAAAAACATTCACAATTATCGGTTTATCGCTATATTTTGTAAGACAATGTAATTTTAATTATAATAAAACACATTTTAAAAGTGTATTTGAGTGACCAAATTACAAATTTTATAATGTATTAAAAATATATATCATTAAAAAATAAAAATAAAAAAACTATTTTTTAATGACTGGGATCGGTTGGGACCGGGACCGGCGGCCCATAACCGGTTACAATAAAGCTTGACCGGGCTCAACTTTTTCGAGCGGGACCAAGACCGGTTACGCCGGAATCGGTTATGACCAGTTATGAGAAATCTTGGGGCCCGGCCCGGCCCGACTCGGACCCGGTTTTTGGCCATCACTGTCATAAGACGATAAGATGTTTTAAGCAAATGAACAAAATTATTTGGGTTCCCAGTTTTGAAAATTAAGTACGTTTAGGATCGTTATATTATTTCTTGGGCCTCATTTATAACGATCCAACGGGCCTAAATATGGATCGGGTCATCCATTTAGAACTTTGCCGGTTCCCCCAAACTCCAAAGATACTCATCATCGTCTTCTTGCTCAAGAGCTCCTGCTTTTCCAATTGGCGTCCTCTTCTGGATGCTTTCAGTAATACTCTCTTCCATATGCTCAAAAGTTGTTGAAATTTATCATGGAGGATCGTCATTGATGGTGTCAAGTTTGAATTAACTTCGTCCTTCTACCCTATTCGTCATATCAAGGTATCAGACCTTCATTGTGAAGCTTTTATTTGCATTGTGTTCGTAATTCCTTGTTACTATCATTTCAAAACCACTTGATTATCTCCAATGGCTTCATTTAAATATTCTCAATAAATCCTTCATTGCTTTGGTTGAAATCAACAAATTATGCGATTCTTGACTGTTTCAGTTCATAAGTTGAGAATCATTTGCTTCAGATGCGATAAATGAGATCTCTCTAACATAGAGTCTAGTTAGGTACCCGAAGGTTAGATCTATCTATGGCTTTTAATAAATTAGAGAAAATTATACGCTATGAAGCATGGAATCACAGTTATGGCCAAGATGGGTAAAGAAAAACTCAGAGGAACTGCATACGAATTTGGGATCGAGGTTTAATTCATTGGTTATTAACTTCTAATCTCTAAGAATTTGAATAAAATGGAGTATGAACCAGAACTAAGAATATTTATGAAGTTCAAACCCCTGGATGAATTCTGATTTTGCCAAAAAAAAAAAAAACCAGCTTCTACATACCAAATGCTTATTCTAGTATGCAAATCAATTGTCTCCTACTTCATGGTTCCTAGTTACATCAGGACTAATTCGTTATGATTACAGTCCCCTAGCTTCTACATACCAAATGCTTGATTCTAGTAAGCTGTAATCTGTATTTAATCAATTCTTTAATTTGGTTGGTGTTTCTTCCACAGTTAAAAGAATTGCACAGATGTAGTGTCAGTTATCAAGAAGACATTGTTTGAAGACATGCCAACGATTTCACAACTCATAGCTGCCAACGAGAGAGTGTTTTGGGGAGGGTTATTCGTTACATTTGGTTCGACTTTCTTTGGCGGTTTCCTTTATACTGCTGTGATATCAAAGCTACTCCCTCCTTCGGATAATGCTATTGTTTTTGCAATACAAAATGACAGGTATGATTGTTGAACTCGTATTTTGCCTATTTTATTGCAAATTTATGCATTGTGTTCTGGCTTAAATTAGAAGATTTCTATAAACTGATATGAATGGAATAATGTCTGTAGTTTAGGAAAATCTCGATTGAATTGTTTTTTGAAGTTGTACGGTTATTGGTTTTAAGTTGTGATCAATATGTTGTATATTTGAAGATTACCCTAGAAGGTAGCATCCTTTTTCCTTTAAGTTTCTTTTAACTCAGTCTGTTGAGCCCATATGGAACAAGCCAAGGCTCAAGCTTATACGAGCCTATAGGAACCAAGCTGGCAGGAGTCAAGCCGATCCCAAGCTTGCATTTTGTTCATGAACCCAACCTAGAAAACTACCAAATTGTTGATAAATATTACCCCATCTTTGATTTTAAGTATCAAATTTGCATTTGCCAAATTGTATCCAGTCTCTGTTCTTATTCATTTCTAATGCCAGTCTTTTTCTACTACTACTCATACATATTGTGGTATATTTTTCCTCAACATTGAATATATTCAAAATGGATTGAATTTGGTAGTAGTTTTTGTGAACTGAAAGTGAAAGCATGATAATTAACAGAGAAGAGAAGAAGTTTATATGGTAAATAGAGTCGGCACTGGGCAGTGAATCATATCGAATTCATATCCACATGGGGACTATTTAGAATGAGGATGATTTTGTGTTTTGTACCATTATTATCTCATTGGCCCTTATGTTTTGGCATTGTTTCAAGATGATTGATAGCATTCCATGTTTTAAGCATGTTTCACAGCAATGCATTACATGCACACACATACGTACGAATACACTTGATGCATATGAATATACCTAGTGTATATGTATGCTTCTACCTATACGTTACATACTTATCTTTATATCTATCTATCATTGTTTATTGCTGTGCTGATGGCACAGATGTTTTTTTCTTTGATTATGCGCTCATGGTGAAGGGGATTAGGGGATATTGGTTTCCTGCCCTCATGGTGTGTGCTCTTTGACATTTTGGAGGCTTTGTGCAAAAAATTAGAAGTGGTCCTATAAATCTTCTTTTTTCAAATATATTAATTATTAAATTCTTTATTACTAAAATCAATCTTTCAAGGACTCGTTATGAACCGTAAATGGAATTTAGAACTGTCCAAGGTGATGGATTTGGAAGAATGATGGCAGTAGTATAGTGGTATGGAGATGACTTTTCGTATTCCTTCTACGCATAAGGGAAAATAGTTAAAAAGAGAACCAAATCGATCCAAGAAAATAAAACTCTAACTTATTATGATAAAATCACAAAACAATAGGTTTCAAACCTGGGTGGATAAGATAATAAATATATTTAGGGTCTGTTTGTTAGTAGTTTAATGGGACTTGCAACTTATTCGGTAGTTATACATGACTGTTTGGTAGTGGCTTAATGATATAGAAAGTGGTTTATTCAGTAAGCTTCTAGGAGGGACTCTATGCAGAAAGCCAAATTTTATCTAAACCTACTCATCCCAATTAAAAAACACTCTCCATGTATGAAAAAACCCTCCAAAGCAAAAACCTTCCTCATCCTAACGACAGATTAATCCACACAAATAACTTTATCCATACATGACTTAGTGGAAAATCAACCAAGCAGCTCCTTACTGAGGTTTGTTGCAGTCTGTGTTTCTGAGTGTGGTCTTGTTTGTAACAGGTATTATTGCTTGTTGGTGCCTTTGACACTCCCGGTGCTTGTGGTTGCTGTATACTTGTACTGGCTTAGCATGAAAATGTTTAAGCATGCATGATCATGATTTCCTACTCAGGTTGTAATCTATCGATACAACAAAATTGGGTTTTATAGGATGCCAAAACCAAGTATGTTAATGAACGGCTTTATAGGATTTCGGTTTATAGGTCCAAACAATTAAAAAATAAGTTTATACCACGTTTTTGGGTGTCTTAACAAGTATTTACGATATTTTTTAAACAAAACGTTTTATTACCTATTTTATAGGACAGCAATTGAAAAAAATGTCTTATGAAAAGATTGTTCATGGTGTCTTGTAAAAATATTAGTGACATTTTATTTTAAAACGTTAAAAAACGTCCTATAAAATTATTTCAACGTTTTCACTTAGGACGTATAATGTTTGATCTTATAAACCTAAATCCTATAAAGGACTTTATTAGGACATTTAGATATTCTGATATTATATAAATACAATTTTGTTGTGGAGTAACCTCTTATTATCTCATTCATTATTTTACTTGGGGGTCTTCATTTAGATCTATTAGTTAGTTTTGTTTGATAGATTTTATATAATATCGATTAATTTTCTGTTTTCGGTGTGTACTTCAGTTGGCAAAGGACGGGATGATTTTGACAAAATACAAGACGGGTCCCACACAGAACTAATACGAATCCAGAAATCATTAAGACTAATGGGAATAAATCAATTTCTAGAAGGGAAAAAAGGGGAATTATGGAAAGTGGCTAGAAATTAGTTGAGAATAGTATCTTTAAAAGGGGAAGGAAGGGGTGTGCGTAAGATATCTTATTTTTCTGCATTATTCCATTGGATTGGCTCTTGCATCATGCATTGAGAGAGGGATGTTTTCTGCTATTCCGTTTCACTTTTTAATTCCATCAGCCTTCTTCTTCCCTTAATTCATTGTTAAATTTCCTTTCTCTATCATAACTCACAAAGGTTACCAATGTGAAGAGACATTTTTTTGGCTCACTACGGTTGAGACTAGCGGGAGGGTTCGGGATCAAACCCGGGACATGTATTGTACTCTCTTCGTCTCAAGATAAGTGTCCATAGTTGAAATGACAACTTTATCCTTATTTAATTTTTTTTTTCACAACTCTTAAATATTTGTGCATTAATTAACATATATTTGAGAATTTAATTATTTCCTTTTGAAACTTGACTCTTATTTGGGACAAATATAAATAAAAGGGAAAAGTCCAAAAAAGCTCAGTGGACTTTAGTGTTTGCCATGATTAAGTTTTTGGACAATTTTTTGGAACAAATAAGTCCTTAGACATTCCAAAACTTGTTAAATAACTCATTCGACTTTCAAATGGGTTTTGGGATTCTTGGGATTTTTAGGATTTCTCCTCTGATTTTGGTGCACCAATAAGAGGGATGGAGGGGAAGAAGATGAAGATATGTGCTACAAGGAAAGGAAGAATAGACGTTGCTGTTATTGCAGGTGGTGAACCAGTACCGAAGGCTTCAACGTAAACACCCCCTCACGGCTGCACTTTTTGCTGCCAATACACTCCTTTATATACGACCTACTTTTCTTCATCTTATCCTTCCTCCCATTGGCGATGTCTGGTTCAATCCACATCTCATTCTCAAGGTAGGTTTTAATTAGGGAAGAAGCTCAATCTCGATATCGATGGTCACCTATGGACTGTGGTTTCTTCCCTTCAATCTCGATCTCGATGGTCACCTATGGTTTCTTCTCTACATAAAAGTTTCTGGGTTGATCATGATCTTGAACTTGGGTTGATGTCGCCGAAGAAGATCGTAGCTCAATCTCAATATTGATCGATGGAGAAGAATAAGAGGGTCGGGAGAAGACCAGGATGGTCACCGGATGGAAGGGACGAGGTTCTCTCTATTGGTGAAGGAGTTATAATTTGTATTTTTACATGCTAAAGAGGTTGCCGGTTACCTTAAGGATGTATCTAACAGGTTTTAAAAAGTTGAAGGAGTTATTTAACAGGTTCTGGAAAGTTCAAGTACTTATTTGTTCCAAAAAATTGTTCAAGAACTTAATTATTCTAAATACTAAAGTTTATTGGTTTTTTTAAAACTTTTTCTTAAATAAAAATATAGACATTTATTTTAAAGCAGAAGCATTTTGATTGTGCCCTTTGCGAGCGACGCATTAAACAAATGAGCTAATAGGCCTCGTCGGGTGGTAAACAACAATTTTATCACAACATAATCAAATAGAGGATAAACATCTCATTTTAAAATCTAAAATATAATGAGGATAATTATTGAGTTCTAACAGAATATTTAATTATTATCTTTATAAAATAATATATTATTAAATCTAAATTAAGTTACTTCGTTACGTTAAATTAAATTATAATAAAAATTTTGAATTAAAAAAAATACACAAACAAAAACTACTAAATAGTTAATTTGATATTAATATTGATATATTTTTTACAAATTTTATACGTTATTTTCAAATTTATATTTTATTCAAAAATAGAAACATTATCGTTTTTTCAAAACCATATAAAATCGTATTATATCGACGTTGATAAAAAATAAAACGAAACATTAGAATGAAAATGTGTCTCGATGCATTATACGAATACCCTTCTAGTCTTTTATGAATACAAAATAAAATAAAATAAAATTTAAAAAGTTTACACCTATAAAGAAAATACAAACAACTTAGAAGTTATGAAAGATCGAGCTCCATGTACTAAATTGCTATATTTTCTATTTTTATTAAATTTATTGATGTATTTTTAAGGAAAAAATTAAAAAAAAATGGACTTTCATATTTTGAATGATCAAGTCTTTTTACAATTTCTTTTAAATAAATAAGTCATTGGACATTTTAATACGTGTCAAATTAGTCTTTGTTACCGAAAAATTTAACTTGCAACTTGCTATGTATGTAAGAATCAAAATTGAAATAAAAACCCTAAAATTATTTTTTAAACCTAAATCATCCCAGCCAAAGACTCGTCCTATTCAGCGCCTCCACCCTCCAATCCGGTACCGTCAATTGGGATAACGTGATATGTTCGCAGGACCGTTTCTTGGGATGTGCAAAGTGGTGCTACCACACAAGGCCTTCGATCTTCGAAGGCGTCTCGATTTTTTTCTTATCTTTTACTCTATATAAATTAATTGACACAAAAAATTATCTTAACCAAGTTGTAATTCTAATTTTTTGTGTTTTTATTTAATTTTTTTTAAACAAATTTAATTTTGTTTTATTCTTTGGATGAATTAAATATATAAATTTTTAACCATTTCTTTATTTTTGAAATTCTTTTTAAGGGTACCTTAAATATATTTATTTATTTTTAATTGTTTATTTTCCTTATATTTATTAAAAGATAATTAAATTATATAATTGTTTTTAAAAAGTTTCTTCTATAATTTTTCCTCCAAGTTCAAGTCTTAACATTCTTAATTCATATTTTATTCTTAAATTTTTATATGTTTTTTTTAACATTTTTAGTTTTTATTATTGTGTTTTAACGAAGATAAATTAATAAAAGGTTGTTATTTTTATTAGTGTTTTTTGGAACATTTTTTTTGTAAATCCAAAAAATTTCGAGTACTAAATAATTTATCTTCATTGTTGTTATTTTTATTTTTTTTATTATTATAAAACACACACACGTACTTATATATATATATATATATATATATATGTTAAATAAATAAAGAAATTAAAAGAAGATTCAAATTCAGACTAAAGGTGAAAGAAAAAGTTAAGACATGGGTGAAAATTGTAAATTTATGATAGTTAAGGGGTTGGGTCAGATGTAAACAGGTCCAAACCAGAAGGACCTGTTTTGTAAATTCATCAGATCTGAAACTTTTTCAGAAACTTGAAAACGACAATTCATTTGAAGCTTTCTATTGGTCTGAATTTTCAACTATTATGACAAAAAAAAATACATATTCATGTAGATAACACTTTGCTCTACATTTTTGCTTCAAGAAAACCGAACTTTCGTTGAGTTTCGAAAGAGAAATCGGAGGTTGAAGTTCGGGTTCGAAAACTTCCGTTTATTGATGATTGGAGGTAAAATACTCAACCAAATTTTGAGTTCTTTATATGGAAGACTTCGTTTTTAGGTCCTCTATGAAACCTTAGTAGCCTTATGTCTCAAATTTTAGTTTTGAATGTTCGATTTTGAGTTTTTTTACTGATTTTCGAGTGGTTTTAAGATCTTAACTTTAAACGAGCGTGTGAGACTCAATACTTGATGGTTTTCGTTGATTTTTGTTTCTATGGTTGAGGAAAATCATTTTCTAGAGATTTTGCAAAAGAATCATCGAAAACGATGAAGAAACAAGGCGAAACGGCCTGTTTTTCCGGCTGCCGGCGTGATCATTGCAGATGGCTGATTGTTGGGCCACGATTTTTGTTGGGCTTTCTATTTTATTTCATTGATGTTGGGCCAAAGATGAGACTATATTTTAGGCCTTTAATTTTTGGGGCTTAATTGGGTACTTAAGGTATAAATTTTTTGTTAATTTATAGTTAATAAATTCCAGATTTAGTTAATTAGTTTATATTAACTAATTAATTTAATTTCTAAATTAGTTAATATATTAAATTGAATTAGTATTTAATAATATATTAATTTATTTATTTTTTTTGAATATTAATATTAGCTAATTATTATTGTCTAAGGAGGATGCTTATATAAATCAATAAATTGTTTTGATGATTTAAGTAAAGTAATTATTGTGACGTTTTAATTTGGAAAGATGAGATTATAAGATATTAAAATGTTTTTTTGGGATGACATCGAGTCTTAGACTTAGGCTTGACTAAAGTTAGTCGGGGTTGACCAAGTTGACCAAGGGTTGACCTTTGGCACGTTTGACCCATGTGGATATTAATGATGGATCAAATAGAGTTGTTTGAGGCATATTAAGATGCTCGGATACGAAGTTTGACTTTAGGTTGGGTCAGAATGATAATAGTTGACTTTTGTTGACTTTTTGAGAAATTAAGACGTTAATGAGATGTTATGGTATGAAATGTGTAGGCATTTGGTCAAGAGCGATCGGTAGTCAATCTATACGCAATCAGGTGAGTCTTCATGAGACTTACAATGGGATGCATACCTAT